GCAATAAAGCACTCTGCAGTATTGCCAAGTGTATAGTGCAGTAATTATTTAAATGTGGAATATATAAATGAAATGTGATTGTGTGTGAAATTTCTATGGCTGCGAATGTAGTATTTGTGATGAGTATGTGAGGTGCAGTGATATTTATGTAATAAAGCAAAGCACAACAGTTAAATAGTGAATGCAAGTAAAGAACTTGAATAAGGAGAGAAGCTTAAAGAAAGTTAGTTTCATTAGGTTAGTAAGAATTAAAACCTTCATTGGAATTACTGAAATAGCAAAAAAAAAAAATGAATACAATTTGCAATATGAAACCAGACATATCAAGTTTATAAATAGTAAGGTAGTTCAATGGGCTAGCCAGTATTTGTGTTTCGTATATTTGTTTACTGTACTTAAATATTGTACAATGTTCAAGTACATTAGTAACTTCCTACTACTGTACTTTAAAAAAAGCTTCTCCATATATAATCGATTTTCTCTAGTGACCCGGGCTGGGGAGGAGAACAGCAGCTTGTCACTGATGCTGGCTGTGTATAGGGTGCCATTATGATGTTGACCAGGAATTGGGGAGGCAGTTGCATTCCACATTGATCCTGGCTAGGGAGCAGCAGTGTGCCACTGTGACCCTGGCTAGTGGAGGGGGGGGGGATGCAGCAGTGTGCCATTGTGACCCTGGCTAGTGGTGGGGGGGGGGGGCAACAGTAAACTACTGGGACCCTACATGTTAACTACCTGTTAATGATTCAGAGGATCAATATCGCTGCAGCTCGGTCTCTGACCAGGCTACCTGGTTGGTTGATGGGGTTCTGGGAGTTGTTCTTCTCCCCAAGCCCGGCCCGAGGCCAGGCTTGACTTGTGAGAGTTTGGTCCACTAGGCTGTTGCTTGGAGCGGCCCACAGGGCCACATACCCACCACAGTCCGGTTAGTCCGGCACTCCTTGGAGGAATAAATCTAGTTTCCTCTTGAAGATGTCCACGGTCGTTCCGGCAATATTTCTTATGCATGCTGGGAGGGTGTTGAACAACCGTGGACCTCTGATGTTTATACAGTGTTCTCTGATTGTGCCTATGGCACCTCGGCTCTTCACTGGTTCTATTCTGCATTTTCTTCCATATCGTTCACTCCAGTACGTTGTTATTTTACTGTGTAGATTTGGTACTTGGCCCTCCAGTATCTTCCAGGTGTATATTATTTGATATCTCTGTCTCCTTTCTAGTGAGTACATTTGGAGAGCTTTGAGACGATCCCAATAATTTAGGTGCTTTATCGCGTCTATGTGTGCCGTATATGTTCTCTGTATTCCCTCTATTTCAGCAATCTCTCCTGCTCTGAAGGGGGAAGTGAGTACTGAGCAGTACTCAAGACGGGACAACACAAGTGACTTGAAGAGTACAACCATTGTGATGGGATCCCTGGATTTGAAAGTTCTCGTAATCCATCCTATCATTTTTCTGGCTGTTGCAATATTTGCTTGGTTATGCTCCCTAAACGTTAGGTCGTCAGACATCATTATTCCCAAATCCTTTACATGCTGTTGGATGTGGCTGCTTGCAGCCTGATGTACGAGTCAACGCTTGGTTGATCAGGTATCTTGTGAATGTGCCTGTTAAGTTCTCTTTTGAATACTGCGAGAGGTTGCCCAGTTATGCCCCATATGTATAGTGGAAATGTTGGAAAGTCTTGGCCTTTGATGTTGACCGAGTTTTCTTTCAACATGCCTAATGCACCTATGCTTTTCAGTGGGGCTGTTCTGCACATCCTGCCATGCCTTATGGTCTTATGTGGTGTTATTTCTGTGTGTAGATTTGGAAATCTCGGTCTTAGATATCTCAGTCCCTATAGTATTTTCCAAGTATAAATTATTATTGTATTCCTCCATCTGCACTCTGGGAATACAGATTTAAGATTGTTAGGCAATAACAATAATTGACATTTTATTGAGTGTTCGTTTTTTTTCTCTCTCTCCAGGTCAGCAATTTATCCAGCTTTGAATGGGGCTGTTAGTATGCAATAATATTCCACTCTAGAGAACACTCTTAAAAAGTATCATTGGTGTGACATCTCTTGTTTGGGAGGTTCGTTATCCAATCTGTCATTTTTCTTGCAGTTGTGACAACAATTTTGTTGTTCTTTAAAAGTACGGATTTCTGACATAATTACCCCTAAATCTTTTACGTTGATTTTTCTTTCAATAGTGTGGTTTGACTGTGTTTTATATGTGGTTTCTGGTTTGATATTTTTTTCCCATAGTGTAGTAATTGGAACTTATCCTCATTAAACACCATGTTATTTTCTGTGGTCCATTGAGAGATTGTATTAACATCAGATTTAAAGTTTGCTGTGTCCTCTATATTGTCCGGTATGTTGTCTGGGTCTGCAGTTCGAGTCTCCTAGGGCCCAGTTGAATGGAAGATTTTACCTTCTTGACTATTGCACTCTGGGTTCTGTTCATTAGGAAGTTAAAGATCTATCTTCCTACTTCGCTAGTAATTCCTTTGTGCGCATTTTGTGTGCAATAACACCATCTTATGTTGAGGCTATCTTGAGATGATTTTGGGGCTTAGCGTCCCTGCGGCCCGGTCCTCGACCATTCTTTTTTGTTACAATCCCCCCCCCCCCCCAGGAAGCAGCCCGTAGCAGCAGTCTAACTCCCAGGTACCTACTTACTGCTAGGTGAACAGGATCAGCAGGTGAAAGAAACCTTTTGCCCATTTGTCTCCACCTGCACCGGGAATCGAACCCGGAACCTCAGGACTACGAATCCGAAGTGCTGTCCACTCAGCTGTCGGGCGCCCCACCATGGTCGCATTTGTTGTAAGCTTTTGCGAAATCTCTGTATATTACACCAGCGTTTTGTCTTTCATGGCATCTAAGGCTATGTGGTTTCATATACAGTACACTATATGTATATTTTATAGTGGTCTAGCATTTGTGAGACAGGAGTGCTCTGTTTTTAATCAATATTACCCAGGGTTATGTAGACATTGTGATTCCATGTGTTTTGTGATCTTATTTCTTAGCGCTCTTTCAAAGTTTTATGTGAGGGGCAATGTTATTGGTCTATAATTTTTTGCATTAACTTTACTACCTCCTTTTGTAAAGTGGCATGATCATTGCCTTCTTAATGAACGCTTTCCTTGAGCCGGCAGGCCACCTGCATCGCACTGCAAGGTAGTCTGGTCGGGCGTTGCCGGTAAGCACACAACCCAATGTTAAACTCTTTCACTCGCAATGTTTGTACCTATTAATAAGAATAAGAATAAATTAATGGATGACGGCGTTGACTTCATGCCCGGAACTGTGTGTGTGTTGTTTTGATGACTGCAATAAATGTCATCAGGACGTCAGTATTAGGTGTGACAGGGATAACACAAGTATTTAAGCTGCCTCTAAAAGATGTTTTGGGACTATGACATTGTGTTTTTGCAATTTTTGATTGATAGAGAATTCCAGGAGTTTGGGCCTGGTGCAGAGTGCATGGGTATGCTGTCTATGGCTACTTCAAAGACGAGTAGGGTTAGGGATAACATCTGATAAATTGTTAAATGGCGGTATCACATTCATAAAAAAATTGTTTTTAATCATTGATATGCAATATGTTCAGGGGCTTACTGAAAACAAAATCATACTATAACCTCAGTATTTCACTCATTTCTTTGTCATCTGTGAAGATTCCATCACTCTTTTGAAAGAGCCCAGTGCAGGATGATGCCCAGTGTATGTTTTTGTTCTAGACTTTGCATAGGAGAAAAAATATTTTGGATTCCTCTCTATTTTGCTAATGGCCTTTTGTTCTTATTGTCTCTTCTGGGTTTTGTATGGTTCTTAAAACTTTAGCTCAATTTTCTTTTTCTCTACTAGCCTTCTTTGTTGTTCTTGGGATAAAGTGGAGCATTTAAGATAAGTGACCTGCACATATCTCTAGTGCTGCTGTGCCCATTTTCTCAAGGCACTGGTTTAAGTTTACATTATCTAGCTGTCTTTCCCAGCATATTTCTGCAGGAGCTTGGTTTATTTGTTACTAGTTAATCATTTGTTATTGCAATTGAATTTGCTGAATTCCCTTCCTCTTGAATTTGAGACTGGCTGCACAGGTCTATTGTCCATGCACATCTGAACTTCAGTTAGGTTATGATCTGAGTAACATGTATTTGTAATCATTATGTCTGTAATCAGTTCATTATGTTTGAAAAAATAAGATCTAGGGTATTTTCTTTCCTAGTTGTTTCTACTACTAGCTGGTTTAAGGCAAATCTGTCACACATCTGCAAAAGGTCATCTGTGTGACTGTTCACTTAAAATGCTTCCTGGGATTCTCTGGTATAATTATATTTGCCTCATTTTTGCATTTTAGGTGCCTCAAGTTGATGCCACCAAGCAAAATGTTTGTGGTAGAGTTTGAGAGGTTTTTTGAAGCAGTGCTCTATTTTTGTGAATTGGTCTATAGACTGTTGAGGATTTACATCTGGTGATTTATATACAAGGACAATTGCCACATTCAGAATTTCTATTTTAAGTATCATCACTTCCACCATATTTGTGGTGTTTAGCAGCTCTGTGCAGATGTCTCTCTCTTTGGTGTACTGGCTGACCCCCAACCCAGTAGCCTGTTTTTTCTATCACATGTGAAAAGATTGAATTCTGGCATCCATATCTCGCTATCATAATACAGTAGTCCTATTGTGAGGGTTTGTCATAGCTGCAAACATTGCATTTGCCTTATTTAAGAAACCATTTATAAAGTTGACATTATTTTGCATGTTTTGTTTAATTTTGTCGCAATAAATTCAGACCTGTTAAGTTTAACAATTGTTCAGTAGGGGTAGTTTTGCTATAGCGACACAGGTGGTGGCACTAGACTATGGAGGAAGCAGAGATGAAATGGCAAAAGTGTCTCATGGAAGCTTTTTAATGACTTGTTTTACATTTGCATTACTAAGTATTGCAGTGCAATCCAGGATTAACAACTGTAATGATGCAATTCATTTATCTTTAGGTAACACTTTGCAAAGATGGTGACGGGAAGGTTGGGATGCGTGTGAAGGCTATCAACAAGGGAGTGTTTGTGTGCCTTGTGAAGAAGAACTCCCCAGCTGCACTTGCTGGTAAGTGTTTAGAATTATTATTACCAACACCACCTTGTTTCCACTTTATGGGGTCAGGTGCCATCTCTGGAGAAGATAGGGAAGATGCACATGAATTGTGGTATATTAAAAAAAAAAAAAAGTCGCCTATCCATTAATCACGTTCTGTACTCTGGGCAGCTGCCGGGGGTCTGCACTCTCTCACTTCAGCAAATAAACATCGGTACTCAACATAGCTATATAACTTACGTATAAGTTACGTATAATTTTTAACATATGTACTACAGTGCTGGTCTGTATTTAATACTTTGTTTTTGTTAGCCATATGTACATAGTTATTTAACACAATTGCTGCATTTTGTTCACCAGTAAGTGAACTAATGAACATTAAAGTCATCCAAGTTGAACATTTATGGCCTATCCTCCTGAACCAATGGGCAGCACCAGCCTGGAATCCACATCCTGTAAGGCCTGAAACAAACAAAAAAAAAAAAGTTCAAATTTGCAACACTATTAGTGCCAGGGCCAAGATGGCTGAGCAATGAGGATAGGTTAAGGAAGCTAGACTTCACAACCCTGTAGGAGAGAAGAAACAGGAGACATGGTCACAACAAGATATCGAGGGAATTGACAGGGTGGACAAGGACTGCCGCCTTAACCATCGCACTGTACACCTGGTTTTGGCAAAAACTTCATAGTGCAATTGTCAAGGACATATTTTTGTTGTTTTTATAAATGTTCAGGTAAAGTTAATGTCAAAATGTTTCAAAACTCAACCATTTTCATTTTAAAACAGTGATGAAAACATTAAAAACATTAAAATATAGTATAGCCTAATTAAAAAAAGAAATAGCAACTCTCGGAACGCCTTAGGGCGCTAACTTTCACTTGCTTCCCAAGTGAAATGATCAAAATAGTGATGAGCTGCGAGAGTTATGACAAGTGGTGTACAAGGAGTGTTGGGTCGGGCGTTTCACTTGTTTCTCTCGGTGGTAAAGATTCACATTTTATATTTGGCGGACAAGTCGACACATGGTTTTGGAGAAATTTTTTTAGGCTTCAAATGTGTACTTATACACCGGCATATATTGGTACCTTTATTATGCATATATTCATTAATGAGTTTGGGATGCTATAAATGTGAACTGTCCCATTTACTGTACAGGTATATCCAAATATCGTTCATGTATGGGGCCTGTTGGCCCATACATGGCATCTCCTATTTATATCCGTGATATAAATAGGAGCAAGTTGTATGGTTCTGTAATTATATACAAATGATTGGTTGACCTGGTATACTTCATTACAACCATTTAGTCCTGAAAACTGTGTGAACATAATTTGTATACATATGTAATTATAATGGAATTATATTCCATGACAATTACCTCATTGGTATAGTGATAGTGACAGTTGTGATAACTGCAATTGCATAATAAGCAATCATGAAACAATAGCACTGTGTTTTCATGGGTTAAGGTATACTCCAATTTGTCCTTTATAAAGCTAATACAGTATATCCATATTAGTATCAGTAGTGTAAAACCCAGACAATAGTAGTCTAAATCAACTTGCGATGATAGCCACATTTCCCAGTGAATTGATGTGTGATAACTGCACTTTAAGGGTTCATTCCTAAGACGACTTGATCCACCTTACTCGGGTAGAAAGAATTTTGCAATGTAGAGCAGACTGAGAGTAGAAAATGTTTTGTGGTGTATTTTGGAGCCAAGTTTCCATCTAAGATTGAAGCAGTAAACATTCAATAAATTGGACACTAAATGAAGCCAATATATTTAAATGTTTATGGACTTGAATCAATGGGCCTGACAAATAAGTGGACAGCGCTTGGGATTCGTAGTCCTAAGGTTCTGGGTTCGATCCCCTGGTGGAGGCAGAAACAAATGGGCAGTTTCTTTTACCCTGATGCCTCTGTTCACCTAGCAGTAAGTAGGTACCTTGGAGTTACAGCTGCTACGGGCTGCTTCCTGGTAGTGTGTAAGAAAAAGAAGGCCTGGTTGAGGACCGTGCCGCGGGGACACTAAGCCCGGAAATCATCTCAAGATAACCTCAAGACAAGAGGGTCACCCAAGACGGTCTGTTCAGTTGGTAAAGCTCATACTAGTACCTGTACAAACAAATTTTGTAACACCAAATTTGTAATTTTTGTAATGCAAATTTCTGGAGAAAAGTTTTAAAGTGACCTATCGGGCAAAAGGGAGTAACAATTAGTTTGAGGAAGACTACAGATTTGGAAGGAGTCTTGGCCAGTTGGCAATTGTTTGAAAAGTAAAATATGGGCTGCAATTTGAATGTAAAACTATTTTAAATTAGTTTATCCTATTAAATTGACATACCTACCAACAGGGCTTCGTTTTGGTGACCAGATCCTTCAAATCAACGGAGAAACAGTGGCTGGATACTCCATGGAAAAGGTCCATGATATACTTCGGAGATGTTCGGCTAATGGCATTTCCCTAGCCATCAGAGACAGGTAAGGGGCTTGTGCTCATCTCCCTTGTATGTTATCCTCTTGCATGTGTACTGAAGCACACATTATCAGTCCAATGGGTGCAGATGTTGGTGAAGGTCGTTTATGTTTGTAATGAGTTTGAGATTCTTGCCGCTTTAATAGAGATTTTTTCTTGTCTAGAATAAATAAGCTTAGTTTTCTCACCTTTTTCTTAATGCTTAGTGTGCTCAATTCTAAAAATCTTTGAAAAATTTTGATAAGTATTTTTTCAAATAAATTAAAAATAAATATGGAGCATTTGGACAAATTTATAAAAAATCCATTTCCTTGCTTATATAAAATTTTATTATTAAAATTTATATAAATACCAGTTTCCTTACTCAAACCCAATTTTTAGGCCTTAATTTTATGCTTTTGTATCTTGTAGAATTAGATATCAATAAATACGGGTGACGAAATAAAAATAAAAATATTTTTTGTTTTTGTTTTAAGCATTATGCCTTGTATTGAAGAATTATTCTTGTTAATAACTATTAGGTAATAATTACCAGAGAAATATAAAATAATGTTAATGATAGGGTTTCATAAGCAGAACCCAGTTCTCAAATTTATTTGTGAAAACAGCAATTGACACGACCCATCGTTAAATTTAGCTTTAAATTTCTTTTGCTTGGATCATAGCTTAGGACAACTTTGTATTATGCATTTGATAAAAAAAATCATGTCAGATTTTGTTTTCAGGCCATTTGAGCGAACTGTCACACTACACAAGGACAGCACAGGCCACATTGGGTTCCAGTTTCGTGATGGTGAGGTGACTGCTTTAGTAAAGGATTCATCAGCTGCACGAAATGGACTTCTTATAGACCACAATCTTTTGGAAGTGAGTAGATGCAAAGGAAGTGCGACTTATTATATACATACATATAGACATTGTCTCGCTTTCCAACCAGCTTGGGGCCATTAGCAGTCATACAAGGTGACGTGTTCAAATACACTAATGTAACTTCTTGCCCTCTCACAAAATATTAATTTTGTGTTAAAAAATACATCACAATATAGGTTCGCTTTTATTCCTGGGGAGTGCAGCTGACAATTCCCTAGTGCACAAGATTGATAAAGATTAAGCCACCCAAGAGGTGGCACGGGCATGAATAGCCCATAAGTGCTAGGGCACAAGAAAAAGTAAATAGTTTTCCTTCTAATATTAAAATGTATTCCCTGATCACGCAACCTGTCCTCCTAATAGAATGTCTTATTTTAAAGTATAATCTACCTAAGACCAAATATTGTTGTGCTAGAAAATGTTAGTGTCTTGCTAAGGTGACACTGTCCTGTTTCCTATTACACCTGCTTGATGGTATTTTCTCCTGTATTCCTGCTGTTTTATCTGCTTATACATGGAGAAGAGGAGAGACACATGGAGAGAGAGAGGGGGAGACAAGGAGAGGGAGGGAGGGGAGGGGGGAAGGAAGGAGAGACAGGGGGGGAGGAGAGAGACAGAGAACTATCTCCCCCCTCCCTTACCCTCCCTCCCTTCCCCCCCCCCTCTCTCTCTCTCTCTCTCCTCTCTCTCATATATTTTTTCTTTTAATTTTTCTCTCTTCTCAGGGATTTTCAATTTCGCTTCATATGAACAAAATATGTAATATCATATTTTGTGTTTGTTGAATTTATTTCCATTACATAATCAAAATGTGTTACTATACAGCAGCTTAATAATTTAGTGTTACCTCTATTCTTTAAGAAGTCATCCTAGCACTTCTTCAAACTTACGTTACATATGTTCTCTTTCAGGTTAATGGCCAGAATGTAGTTGGAGTGAAGGATAAGGAGATATCTGCAATCATCAGTGAGTGTGGCCAGGTTGTCACAGTTACCATAATGCCATCTTTTGTTTACAAACACATGATGAAGCACATGGCCAGTTCTCTCGTAAAATTCATGGATCATGGTCTGCCAGATCTGTAAAAGTGCATTATCATTTGCTAAAATAAGAAAATAGGATTATGTTGTTTTTGTTGGACAGAATAAACAGTAGCCTGTTTTAATAATAGAAGATGGACCAATTAATATGGGCATTACCGAGATAGAAGGCACTTCTGCGGGGGTGAGCTATTTTTTATACTCCTGTATTTTTTGAAGGACTGTAGGATTGAATGAAATAAGTATTCTCTTTTCAGATTTTCAGTATTAGTTTTTTTTGCTTTCATTTGCTGTATTTGCATGTTCATTTTGGTTTTGTGTAATATACATATGCAGCATATATATATGTGTATTGGGTGTCCATGAAGTTGGTATATATTAACTAAAAAGGCTTCCCTATAATTATAGATATAAAATTAAAGTTAGCTCCTATTTATTCTTAAATTATATAAATGCAGAATGGAAGACTTGTATCCTTCAGTGCAAGTTTATTTTTGTACAATATCCAAATCAGGATACCACTGGAATCCTTCCGACATGGCTTCTGACTTTGCTTCTAGCTCTCGTTGAGCTTAGTATTTTGGCTCACAACTCGATAAGATTACACTTACTGAAGCTGATCACACTGCAGTCTTTGTGATAAATATTGATTGTATTTTTTGCATTTTTAGAAGAGGTATTAATTATTGCTTTTCTTGCATTGTGGCTTTACTGTTCTTGCAAAGAGGTTCATCTAAAGCATGTAATTTTCATTAAAGGTCAGCCTGTTCTTCCATTATTACATATACATAAAATTATAACTTCGAGTGATGTTCATCGGTGTCATGAGAGCTAGGGAACATCAGGGTGCTGTATCGAGAAACGCCATTTAGCTATTCTTAAATGTGCCCGTTTTGGTGCATCATGCAAGTCTGTAATTTGCTGCAAATATAACTCATCGCCAGGTTATCATTAACGTATACTAGCTTAATGAACACCCCATTGTTGACCTAATGAATGATATCTGAATAATGAGGTGACTCCTGATGTCATGAAAAAAAATTTTGCAAAGCCATTTTATAAGGTCACAAAACACTACAAGTTTTCAGTGTATTATAAAAGTATTAAAGCATATTCCGATAGTTTAGGTTAAGAGTGCCATATACAATCAATACCCAAACTGCATAGCTTTAAATTGTGATATTGCGTGCAGTAAATTCAGCAAGATTTGCTTCCGGAAAACTGATCATTTGCATATGATTACTTATACGTAATATATATTTACATATGATATATTAGGAAATATGTAACTACTTTTTGTTTTGTTAAATTCAAATATTGATGTGCAGGTCTTGATAGTAAATCCAATTCTCCCATAATAGTGAATTTCATAAGTGGTACTTAAAATTCCTTGTAACTACAAATATCCTTAAGTCATGGTTAACAATTTGCAATAATTCATTATTTGTTTGTTATATTCACTGTATTTTATCTCTGTTTTTGTAATAATATATTAAGCACAATGTCGATCGGCACAACAGTTAAAGCGGTGTATGAGAGGTATATCATCCAGACGTTGAAATCTTGTGTAAATAGTTGTACTGCAAGGTATTTTATGTCGTTAATCTGGCAATATAAATATTAGTTATTCTGTAAGAAATACATAAATGGCATTGCTATCATTGTTCTGAAATGTCTGTGGATTTTAAGCTGCACAGTTTTCTGAAGGCTCTTGCTTAAATGTATTTAAGTACTGTAGTTAGTTGGTAGGATGTATTTAATTTATGAGAAATATCAGACTGTTTTATCCTTCCATTGCAGCACTATGAATATATGCTGTTTGTTCCTCATTACACTATTGAGAAATTATGGAGATTTTGTTCTTTTGAAAAAGTGAAATCTGTTGTAATCTCATCACTGTATATTGCAACTCTGATAATGTTGTAAGTTTGTGTAGCTGGCTGATATGAATGAAATATGCAAAATACACAGTTTTAAATTCACAATGTATGCATGTTTAATTCCTCGCAAAAACAAGCATTTCTGATTCAATGCTTTTTGAGGTATGTGATAACCTGTAATATGGAAATGTAGTGTACTGTATAGAATTTTATTAAAATAAAAACTATGTTAAATGTACAGGTACTTATCATTGCATCCTTGCAAAGTTAAATGTGCTTGGTTTTACACTAATATTCATGATTTCAAATCTACATTCCTCACCCCCCTCTCTGCTTCCAACCTTAGTCTACCCATTACCACCACCTCTCTTTCTGGCTCGTTGTCGCCGTGAGGGGGCTTGGTGGGCGGCTGCCAGAGTGTGATGCTCCATGGGTCAGTCCTCTGTCCTTTTGAGGCCTTATGCTCTGGCTGCTGTCTTTACCAATTTTGGCCAGAACTCTTCTCGTTTTCCTTGTGTTTCGTTTTTCTCCCCCCCCCCTCCCTCTTCTCCTTTCTAATTGTCATTTCCTGCCGACCTTTTGCCTGTTTTGATTATTCTCTTGGACTTCTTCTAATTTGATGCCTGGGTGTTTGGGGAGGCATACTCTTGCACCTGTAGAACTGTAGTACCCGACGTCAAGGGCGAGGGGAACCTCTTATTGTCAATCCTCCTTTCGTCACAACCCGATCTCGACGGACTCTTGGTTCTTAAGGAGGCGTTTGTGGGGCATATACTCATGACACACCCCTGGGGGGCCCCGGCATGATCGCCGATAGCTTCTTGTTGGGTGTTGTTACGGACCCGAGTCCAGCGTCCGAGCCTGGAGCAGTGACGACCACGCCATCTGTGGGTCAGCTCCCGAAACCCCCTCCAAATGGACGCCGCCACCTAGTGAGGACGAGATATACTGGCCACAAGGGCTAGTTTCCCGTCCTGATCAGCTCATAACACAGCCACTGCTGACCTCTGGTGAGGTGGAGCTTAGACAGCAACGCCATCTATGGAGTGGAAAGATGGGCGTTTGGGTCTGAGCCGGTAAGTGACGTGCCCTAGAGTGTCCCAATTACTGATGACGTGTCTGATTACAGAGTCGACCTGGGACTGCTGAATCGGACAGTGGATCAGTCTACCCAAGGCAGCCGACTTGTCTCCAAGTGTTTGCTGCAGCAGCTGTGAGTCGCCCCCCGGATGAATACTGTGGTGTTACCCTGCCTGTGAAGTGGCAGTTGAGGGATTGTCATACCCGGGACCGACTGGTGGAGACGCTTAACCACTGGGGTGTTGTGGCGAGGAGAGTGGTCTGTGGGATCACACGAGGCTCCTGACTAGGGTTCGCGACCTTAGTATCGATCGTGGAGTGGCCTAACCAGCGCCGCTGATTGGAACCTGCCAGCTACCGGCTGGACTTGTGGTTGATGGCCTCCACGACGGTGCCCCCAGTGGAATTGTGATTTGGCTGGCCTGTGGCCAGGGTAGACTCGGAGAATCGAAGGATTCGTCGTGAGGCCACCAGAGGACTAAGACCTTAGCATCGTCGAGCACCGTGGAACACTTCACGTCTTCAGAAGAAGACTACGCTGTACATAATAGTGTTTAACCCCCCCCCCTTTGTGTAACCTTTTATATATTATTTATTGGTGGCGGTAATTATATTATTAAGTTTTTTACTTTATTTCCCTTCCCCTTTTATTTTACTTGCGTTACGGATCACATCCCTTGAAAGCCACTACTAGCTTGGGGCCGGATACCCTACCTCTAACAACATCAGAGAAAGAACCCGGTTGCGACCTGAGAGGGCCGTAACATAATTGGCATCCCCAGCGGGATCCGACCTCTTGTCAAGTATGTTTGACGGGTGGTGAAGTGGCGTAATCCCTGTAAATAATTCCCCGTGTGTGACTATTAGGACGTTATACGTCCTGTGCGGTGCTCAGAGTGACTAAGTGCATTATTGCGTAGTGCGGTGCTCGGTGTGATAACGTGCAACATTGTATAGCGAAGTGCTCGCTGTGATTAAGTGCAATATTGTATAGTGCAGTGCCCGATGTAATTACGTGCAATATTGGCAAGTGCAGTGTTTGGTGCGATAAAGTGCAATATTGATGTAGAACAGTGCTCGGTGCGTTAAGTGCTAACGTGAAGCGGTGTGTTAATTGCTAGTGTACCAAGTGACAATGGCAGAAAAAGCGACCATCGACGATCTGGACGATGTTCAGGCTTTTCTGAACAGGGAGGACTGTCTTGCCAGATTAAAATATCTGGGCAAACAGGAACTCGTACTGGTGAGTGCCTACCTGGAGATCAAGATCCGTGCCAGTGATTCCCGTGTGGAGATCTTGTCCAAGGTTCACCGGCATTTGAAGGCCGAGGAAAAACAGGAAGGCGAGGCACAAGTTACAAAAAGTGAAGAAGTAGCTTCCACTGAAAAGGAAGATAAAGGCAGTGACATTGAGAGTGATGCAGGTGAGCTGAATATAAGTTTACTTACAGTAAAAATGCGTGCCTTGGAAATTAATCGTGAGATAGAATGGAAGAAATTAGAAATGGAAAGAGAGAGACAAGATAAAGAATTAGAGATGAGGCGTTTAGAATTAGAAGAAAGGAAAGCAGAAAGAGAAAGAGAAGAACGAGAAAAGGAACGAGAAAGAGAAGAGCAACGAGAGAGAGAAGAGCGAGAAAGGGAAGAGAAACAGCGAGAGAGAGAAGAAAAAGAAAGGCAGAGACAACATGAACTAGAAGTATTGTGGTTAGGTGGTGGGAGGCAAAGAATGGAAACAAGTATTTTCGATCCGGTGAGGAACATCAAAATGGTCCCAAAATTCAATGAGAAGGAAGTGTCGAAGTTCTTCGCGGCCTTCGAGAAAGTCGCTGCCTCTTTGGAGTGGCCAAGGGAGAATTGGGCCATCATGATACAGTCAGTCTTGACTGGGAAGGCCCAAATCGCCTACTCCACGTTGTCCCTTGACGACTCCGGCGATTATGACAAGGTGAAGAAGGTCGTGCTCATGGCGTACCAATTGGTACCTGAGGCTTACAGGCAGAAGTTCAGGAACCTGAAAAAGACCTCAGAGCACACTTTCACCGAATTCGCCACTATCAAGGAGCGACTTTTCCAGGAATGGTGTGCCTCTCGGAAGGTGGAGACCAAAGAAGACCTCGAGCAGCTCATACTGTTAGAGGACTTCAAGGATTGTTTGTCTGGAGACCTGAAGACGTACTTAGAAGAGCAGCAGGTGGAGATCTTGAGTGCGGCAGCCACCATGGCTGAAGAGTACATCTTAACGCATAGGCCTTCTGCTCAGTACGTCCCGAGGAATTACCCACGCCGGTTTGACAAACCTCGTCATGACGAAGAGGAGACCCCCGTCCCACAAAGCGCTAAGAAGACGCCCCCAAGTAGCCCTCGAAGGACAAGTCCTAGCAGTCCGAGGAGGAATATGGTGTGTTGGACTTGTGGGCAAAAAGGGCATGTAGCTGCTATGTGCCGAGGCAGAAGAGGTAGCGGCCCACGTAGGGAAGTGATGTTAATGAGCTGTGTAACTTCACCAGCAGGAAGCCAGTCTACGACTACTCAGGAAGAACCAAGTTTGTTCGCCCCTCACACTTCAGGCGGGTATGTATCGAGTGATCATACTGGTAGGTCAGTTGTAGTGCTCAGAGATAGTGGAGCAGCCCAGTCCCTGATCGTGAGAGACTCGTTACCCGAGGGAGTGAGAGTAGACGGGAGACAAAAGGTTATCCTGGTTGGGTTTCCGAGGACGCAGTACATCGCCCCTTTAGTGCCGATACATCTCGACTCGCCTTACTTCAACGGCACATGTGCGTTGGCTGTAGTCGATACCCTACCTATAGCTGGGATTGACGTGATACTAGCCAACGACTTGGTGACAGATTGGAGCACCAATCATCCCAAGATTGTGGACGAGTCGGCCGGAACAGCGAGGTCTGAGGTAACAGCGGGCAGTGGTAAAATCCAGGTACAGTCAGACCCGGAATCAGATAAAATGTTTAATCCTTCCTCTCGCCTACAGATTGACAGCATGCTAGCAGAGTCTCCTGATTCTTCTCCCAATAAGGAACATGAGGTTACGATGGCAGAGGCAACTGAGCATGGAGAGAGGTCTCGTGTGCAAGCACCCACGGATACCAAAGAGTCTGGAGTGGAGGCGGATGAGTACTTGCGGTATAGCAAGGTTCAGCGTTCATTGAACCGGCCAGAGATTCCCCAGACGTCGGAGGTATGTGAGGTATGTGCGAAGGTTATAGTGCCCTCTTCGGTCCAAACCAGGCTATTTGAAACTGAAAATAGGTGCAAAGAGTCAGAATTTGGATAAAAAATCACGCTCAGGAGTCAAATTTCCGACATTTCAGATATTTTGAAAACTGCAGGGGGGTTTGGGCAAAATATGACCCATCGCCGTTTGCAGTATTTGGCATATTTTCGGTATGAAACGTCGTTATTTGAAACTGAAAATAGGTGCAGAGAGTCAGAATTCGGCTAAAAAATCACGCTCAGGAGTCAAATTTCCGACATTTCAGACATTTTAAAAACTGCAGGGGGGTTTGGGCAAAATATGACCCATCGCCGTTTTCAGTAATTGGCATATTTTCGGTATAAAAAGTCGTAATTTGAAACTGAAAATAGGTGCATAGTCTGAATTCGGCTCAAAAATCACGCTCAGGAGTCAAATTTCCGACATTTCAGACATTTTAAAAACTGCAGGGGGGTTTGGGCAAAATATGACCCATCGCTGTTTACAGTAATTGGCATATGGTCGGTATGAAAAGTCGTAATTTGAAACTGAAAATAGGTGTAGAGAGTCAGAATTCGGCTCAAAAATCACGCTCAGGAGTCAAATTTCCGACATTTCAGACATTTTGAAAACTGCAGGGGGGTTTGGGCAAAATATGACCCATCGCCGTTTTCAGTAATTGGCATACTTTCGCTATGAAATGTCGTAATTTGAAACTGAAAATAGGTGCAGAGAGTCAAAATTTGGCTCAAAAATCACGCTCAGGACTCAAATTTCAGACATTTTGAAAACTGCAGGGGGGTTTGGGCAAAATATGACCCATCGTCATTTTCAGTAATTGGCATATTTTAGGTATAAAAAGTCTAATTTAGAAACAGAAAATAGGTGCAGAGAGTCAGAATTCGGCTAAAAAATCACGCTCAGGAGTCAAATTTCCGACATTT